GCATTGCTCCTCACGCCGTCTCCTGTTGCACCTTTGTTCCTCTTTGGCGGCGCCATCAACCTATATAGTTATCACGACCCTCGTCGTCTGACCCGCAAAGTCGTGCAAACGCCTCAGCAACTCGACCGCGCTTCGTCACTGGCCCGGTTACGTCAAGAACCACCGCAATCCAAACCTAGCGACGCTACCTTGAAGCATACCATCATGGCGAGCAGTCTACAAGTGTCCTCTGCAAAAGCAGACAAAGAGACGCTCGCCGCCATTCATCCCAACCAACACCCAGACAGTGCCTTGGACCACGAGTCAACCAAGTCTACTCCACTGCTCCTGACCGAGACATCTGAGCACCACTTGAGTGCCTTTCCCACCGCCGATGATAGCTGGGCCGATGCCGACCCCTTGCTACGTGATGCCTTGGATATTTACGGCTACGAGATTCTGCCAACGACTGGCTCGACACGCTTGCCCCCAAAGAACAGCCAGCATGGACCATCGCCCATCAACGCTGCTGAAGAAGAAGAAGACGTGCTTGTGATTTTAGATAGCGATACAGACCAAGAAGAAACTCACGAACCGGCAACGGGGTCAGAGGCTACGAGCGACGATGGACATCAGGAAGCTGAGGATGATCAGAGTGACCAGACCGTAGAAGAGGAAGAGGAAGATGACGAAGACCATGCCGAGAGTGGCGAAGATGGAGAGGAATTTCACAGCGACAACACTGATGACGAAGCAGACGAAGACAGGGAGGACGAGTCGGACTATGATACTGATGACGATCAGGAGGCGGTCATTGATGATGCGAGCGACGATGTGATTGAGATTATTGACGACGACGATGACGAGGCTATCACAGCAGAAACAAAGGCAGAGGCCGAATATAGTAGCCAGAACAAGATGAGCCCTGGTGACAAACAAGCGGCAACGGTGCAGGCGTCCCCTGATGGCACCTCCAGCAAAATCATTTTGATTAATGATAGTGCCAGTGATGGCTCTGCGGACAAGGGCTTTGATCCGGATTCGGTTGATTTGGACGGTAGGCTCAGTGCGACTACATTGCGCCTGCCGTCAGCACCACCACCTAACAGTCTTTGTTTGTCACCTTGGCATGTTCGCCGTTTTGTGCCAATTTTGCTCGTTCACCTAGGCGAATATGACCTGTTTGATCCGCGATACTCAATACGGTTGAAAAAGCTGATTGAACGCAACCGTCAAGAGCGCGAGGCCAACGAACGTGCAGTGCGTCCTCGTTGTCGCCCTCGCTCTTGCCCTGTTGTCACTTGCTCCCAGCCTTGTACTGCTTGGCGGTGAATTCACTGATTGTACTTGTTGGTCCAACTGCACATACTCTAGCTCAACGCACAAGCCAGCTACATGGACCAGGATCTGGCTCGAGACGAGACGCGTTTCCAGGCCTTGTCACTTGCATGTACGTTTCAAGTGCTTGGTGTCTCTTGTTGGGCCATGTTTTCCATCAAGTCTGACCATGGTTGTGACCAACACTCGGTGACAATAGCGGTGCAAGCATTGCCATCGCTCCCACCTGAAGCTGATCAGCTGGTGCGTAGCTTGATGCTTCTTCCAACAGACACGTCGCTTTGACCGCCATTGTAGCAGTGAAGCATTTTAACGAACCGCCTCGTGTACCGTTTCCTTGGCCATGCTGGTTTTGCAGGTCCAGCGCGCCTGGGCTAAGCAGCTTCCTCCCTCTGAGGAATTGGGCTCCCTCAGTGGACAAGGCGGCTACACTTTTACGGCAAGTCTTCTTCCCTTACTGCCAGCAGCATTTACTTGTTCCACCATGCTCGATTGCGCGTGTGTCGGTAACTCATGTTCATGACAAACCTGGCCCTGACACCTGGCCTTGCCTCTTTTTTTTCATCTCATAGCGCGCCGATGCACTCTGCCTTCACGGTTTGACGTGGCTCAATGATGTGTGCATCAATGGCATGTACAGCCTGATCCACCGCCGATCTCAGGAATCAGAGTCTCTTCCCAATGTCTGGTCCGTGAAGCCTGCGAATGAGTAAAACAATGTCGAGTGCCGTGCGACCTGCTCGCCTGACTGAATTGCGGGGCGCGCTTTGCATCAAAATTTCTGCTAGGGTCTTTTCGTCGTTCTTCTACACGACGATGGCTGACCCACATAAGGGGTATGCTTCAGTACGGCGATGGACCCGCAAGGCCTCCGTGCGGCCTGGCGCGGCTCCAGATGTATTTGCCTTTGACAAGATCCTTGTGCCCATTCACGTCTCTGGAAATCACTGGTGCTGTGGATGCATTGACTTTCAGAAGAAGCGCATTGAGTACGATTTTGCTCTCGTAGCACGGGAGTGCCGGCGTGGGGACAGCGCGTGCCTTTTTTTTTTCGTGTGATGTGACTCCCTTCGCGATTGTTTTTAGGTACTACGATTCTTTCCATTCTGGAGCGGGCCTGTTTCATGAGCGCATGCGGAGTTGGATGCAGCAGGAATCGCGAAACAAGCGTGGATGTGACTTTGATTTTGCTGGCTGGACCAACTTTGTCGCCCGCGATTGCCCATCTCAGGTGCGACATACGCCACCTCATGACACGCATTCAGCCCCTCCACCCTCTTTGGCCCTGCTCACAAAGGCCCTGGCTGATGGGAAACAGGAAAATACTTCTGATTGCGGCATGTTTGCCATCCAATTTGCTGAGCACCTCAGCCGCAATGCCCCCTTTTCTTTTTCCCAGGTGAGGAAGGAATGTACAGCATTCTCGGCAATTTTCGTATTTTTTTATTATTTTTTTATTTTTTCTTTTTTTTTGCTCGTTGCCTCCACTCTCATTGTGGCTCCTTTCTGTTGTTCGACCATCTCGCACTGTAGAGTGATATGCCCTACTTTCGGCGCCGCGTCTGTTATGAGCTCTCCATGGGGCGCCTTCTGAACCAGAAATAAAAGACAGTCTGAGACTCTCTTCTTGCGTTTTCTCAGGCACACATCTAGTTGACATGTGAAAAGAAACCATTTAGTTATTCGAGAAGAAAAAAAGCATTCGAGAGAGCGAGCGAGCGCATTTCATTCTCTGCCCTAGGATAAAATGTGACTCCCACTCTAGACTGCCGGTGGAACTTCAAGAGAAACACATTTTCAAAAAGTTCAGAGTAGATTTGTCGATTTACATGTCAGCGGGGTTCACAAACACAGACCAAATACAACGGCTGTACAGTTAAAGATGGGGCGGCGTTCTCAAAAGAATCTAACAACCAAGTTCTGGTCCCCCGATCTCCCAACTATCCCCTTGGGGCCAGAAGCTAAACTTCGGATGCCAGCCGACCGTTCTCATTCTGATACATGCAGTAATGCTGTGTGATGATGACAATGTCGTACAGCATGCTCACCATGCCAAGGCCAAACTTGGCCACATCACCAGTGATAGCGCTCCAGTCATGCGTGAGCCTGAATCAACAACGCGGACAAGGGCGGTGAGACACGATGATAAGTGATATTTTTCGGGTGTGAGGTCGAGCTGGCCAGACCTGGCGTCAAGGCACAGTTGGGCCACGGATAAGGAGCCACCGGTAAAATCGAGCAAGAAGTTGTGGATGTTCATGCCTTCGGTTGAGCGTCGCTTGTGGTTCAGATACAACTGCAGGTGGCAACACAATAAAAATAAAATAACACATCGATATATCAGGCAACAGAAAAGGCAGCGCAGTCCATTTGTGGAATGCGGGCCCGACCTGCGGAATGAATTTGACCAGGGTCACAAAGAGCTTGATATCGCCGAGCAGATTGTAAAAATTGAGCCAGTTGAAGATACCGTGATCCACAACTTTGCAAAGCACCGCCATGACGGCGGCCGCCAAGAGGCACAAAACGGTGGCAATCTGGTCACGCAAGCGTGGCGGTGAGGGCCAAGAGTTGGAGGAAAGCAAACCCCATCATGAACGAGCTCGCAGACTTGGGGTAGGAAGGGATGTGAATACGAGGTCGGGCAACATGATTCGGGGCAGGCAGACCTTGCAATAGAGCGAGACGCGTTGGTTGCCCCGCTCGTAGATAAAGATTTGAAAGACTGTGACCAAGGTCAGGGCCAGCGCGTGCAGGGCAAAGAAAACGTCCGAGGCCTGCACCTGGTTGTTTTTGCCATGGTGGTGACTGCGGTATAGGCTCTGTGTATCAGGGGACCAATAAAAGAGCCCGTTGAAGATGCTGTAGCACAAGAAGCCCACTACGTTGTACATCTACACAGGTCGAAGTCCAACGGGGCGTTAGAGATGCAGCTGAAGGGCGTGTCAGCAGCAATTCACCGCGGCAACGGTGGGCCGGCATGTTTGAAACATGGGTTCACCTGGTAATCAAAGGAAAGGCCCACAACGCTTTTGCGCGAATAATTGAGAATCACCTGTGTGCGTCCAGAGACCAGTACGAGTGAGCTGTGGTGCACCAGATCGCGCAAGCCGGATCGGAGCATGCCTTGCCACTTACTTGGGGATAGAAGGAGACGGACCAAGCGACAAAGTAGATGCCACCCATGAGGTTTGAGATGATGGCCCATGTTCGCGATTCTTCTTTGAGGTCCTGGGGCAGAGCTGTTAAAAAGCCAACCAACAAGCCAACGGCGACAACAAAGGTGGCGCCTGTGGACAGTTTGGAGCAACAGGTCAGCATGGGTAGTGTGGTGCCTGGCAAGCGAGCAAGTCAATGAAAGCGAGGGCATGCTCGTTGAAGGAGCAACGCTCGCACCGCTCGTGATGATGAATGCCTCTGACTTCCACCAGATCTTCTGCGTCATTGGCGGGTGAGCGGAGGAGCAAGACATGTGGTCAGAATGCCAGATCACCACCACAGGTAGGAAGGTACAACGAGTCAAGCGGTGTAGTCAAGCAGGCCATGGGGTTGGCCACTACGAGGGGTCTAGGGAAGTGCAGTCTGGGGGAGTAGGCAAAGGGGAAGGGGGAAAGGATGCAGCGTACCGGACTGTTTCGATGGGATTGACTCAGACTGTTGAGATACTGAACGCTACCGTCGGCCGATGTCCCTCCGGAGAGAGATGAATTCTCGAGAAGGGGCTCCCGCTCCATCTTGCTGGTATGATGGTGACGACGAAGCTGGGACAGCAACGGGACAGACCCTTTGCGCCGAGCTCAGCTCGGTGCGGGGCGGCGCTCGATAAGATCCTGGTTGCTTCCCGTGGCTACACGGACTGTGTCCTGCCTTCTGCCTACCACACCGGCCCCACAGCTGCTCCGATCGCAATCACTCCTATAGTCACCACAACCGTCTCTATGGCAGCAGCTATGTGATGCGCTGCCCTCGTGAAAAGCAGCACCAGCACCAGCAGAGAGACCGATTGCTTAAGAGAGAGTTTGAGAGAGAGAGAGAGTTGAGAGAGAGAGAGAGAGTTTGAGAGAGTTTGAGAGAGAGAGAGTTTGAGAGAGAGAGAGAGAGAGAGCTTCATGTGTTGTTAGAATGACAACATGTTTCGCGCGACACCTTTAGGCAGGTTAATCATTCATTTGGGCGCTTGGCTTGGTTAGAGGGAATGGGGTCGGAACGATTGGGCCGGTCGTGAATGGGTGGATGGACGGCGACGGAGAAGGTCAGGGGTGGAGATGGTACTATGTTCGTTTTGAGTTCGTTTTGAGTTTTGTTAATTGGGGGTTGGGGATTGAAACAGGGGGTTTGAGGACATGATTCACGGACACGAGCAACAGGGTTTCTGACAGTCCAGGGAGGTGCGGGCTTGGCAGAAAAGGTAAGTGTGCTGGGCAAACGCGTGCCAGGCTTACTCTGGCGTTTGTCTAGGGTTCTACTTGTCGATCTATCGAAACAGCGCCGGGTGGCACCAACAGCCGAATACGTATGTCGGTAGAGTGAGGTATGCCCAGCCAGATGAACAGCAGGAAGAGAGGCGACGCATGTGGAGGATCAGGAGGGCGAAGAGAGAGACACGGCTAAACAAAGCAAGCAAACGCACCGGCATGCGCAGAAGAACACCACGCTTCTCGCGTTGAACGCGACGTTTTTCGCGCTTCTCCGCCCGAAAGTCCTCGACCATCTGATCCATCTTTTCCATGTTTGCCTTGATTTTCTCCAGCCTGCACGTTCAATTGCCCCATCATGCACAAAACCCATCCAGCACCATTGCGGCAGGCACATCAAGGACGCATTGTGACGAGCGCAGGTATATGCGCATGAGATGGAGCCGACATGCTGTGTCCAGCCGGGAGGGGTGAGGTCGAGTCAGACATACCGCTCTGCCTTGGCACGTTGCCACTGATGGCCCTTGTTGGGCTCGCGACGCTCAAACTTGGTTTCTTTCTGCACACCATGATGGTGGTTGTCACGCCACAAGAGAAGCAGGGTGTGATGAGCGGCGAGCGAGCGAGAGCGAGAGAGAGAGAGAGAGAGAGAGAGAGAGAGAGAGAGAGAGAGAGAGAGAGAGAGAGAGAGAGAGAGAGAGAGAGAGAGAGAGAGAGGCCACTTGAAGGTGAAAAAGCTGCCACTCGAAGCAAATTGCGTTGCAGCTTCGATGCTCCCACCCGTCAACCGCCTCTTCAGCGCACCTGGGCAATAGGAAATTCATCGGCACGACCAGCCATCGCAAACTCCTTGCGCAGCTTATTGACGTAGCGCGGGCTCAAGCGCGGCTTACCCGTCTTGCCCTGAAATCAAGCAAAGGGAAGCGATGCCAAAAGCAAGGTCGTGAGGTCGCTCAGGGCACAGAACGGCCAAGGTTAGGCCGTCTGTGAAGGCCGCGCAAGACTCAGCTGGATCTGCATGAGCTGGTGGACTACTTTGGATGGTCCACACGTGAGCCGAAGGCGCGAATCATACCGAGGGAAGCTTCTTGACTGAAGCGGCTGCCTCGATGAGCGAGGGGTCGGCCAGCATTGCGTTGAGCGTGCTGCGGGCCTCACCCCCGGCCGATGAGGCTGGGCGCACGGCCTGCAACTTACACGCCGCATTCACGGCCACCATAGATACACGAACCACTCCTTGCGCCGAGGGTACACTGCGCGTCAGCGCCGAAGCGACTGCTGTCCGCACTGCCGCTGCCATATTTTATTGAGTCTCTTGTTGTTGTGGAAAAAATAAAAAAAAAAGTGCGCGTGTGAACAAGGATGCGATAGTGTGAAATTTGTTACACTCTAGTGAGAAAAGAGAGAGAGAGAGAAAGAGAGAGAGAGAGAGAGAGAGAGAGAGAGAGAGTTTGAGAGAGAGAGAGAGAGACAAGAGGCAGACAGATCCAGGTTGAGCTTTCGGCTTAATTTGTGCACATGTCAATTCAAATGGTTGCGGTCGGTGCGATTGGGGAGGGATGGGACGTGAGTGTCCAGTACGCGCGCCGTCGTGATAGGGTGCGTAATCCTCAGAAGATGAAAAAAAAAAATACAATAAAATTAAAATGGTTAGATGACAGAGTCGCTGGTTGAGCGCGGGAGTAAACTTTGACGTTGCTCCATCTCAATATTGGCACGCTCCTGGATGGAAACTCCACTCCCATTGGTTGGCACGTCCACGAGAAAGACGCGATGATAGGTCTGGTGGCAAGGATTTCATGAGAGGAAACAAAAAATAGGGCTTTGTAAACCACGGAGAGGTCATTGGGGCTGGGGAACTGACCTTGGAGGCTGTGCGATGTCCAATGAGGTATTGGCAGACGAAACAAACGACCCCAAAGAGGAACCAGGCCAAAAGCATAATCAACGCAGAAGAGCCAAAATCCTTGTCGTCAGGAGCCGGCATTGTGTCATGCTCAAGCTTTTCTCGGACAGATAAAGCAAGGCGGTGACCAAGATATAGCATCAAACGGCCAAAGTGGGATTGAACAAAGTAATCCACGCCTGATTTGTGCGTACAAAGTAGGCAGATGACTTGGTTAAAAAAAAATGCGTACAGAAACAAATATTTGCCTGGAATCCGGGTGGATGGTCGCGAAACTTGGCGTGCGCACGCGTGTGTGTACCGTACCGAGCATTACAAGCAGACTGCCCGCCAGTGCGGTGGTCAGCACCACGAAAAATTTGCGAAAGATCATGGTGAGAATACCACCCACAAGCATACAGCCCAGGTAGAAACAGAGAACACCAGCGTTCCTGTGGGTCAGGCATGACAGTGGGAGAGACGGATGGATCAAAGTCTCTCTGCGGGTTGTGGGGGGCGTCTAGGCAGGAGCAGTGGGGGAGGGGGGGGGTGCCGAGTCGTACCCGTCGAAGAAAGGGTAGGCACCGAGGGGCGAGGTGAGCATGATAAGGGCTGCCAGCAGCCCAAAACATGACCCCACCATAAAAATGCCGACCCGAAAAAAGCGGTAGGCCAGCAAGCCACCCAACAAGCCTGACACACACACACACACACGCGCACAAAAAAAAGCATTTTGGATGAGACATGAGTTGGCAAATGTGAGGATAAGGAATGTGCGGGCGCGGTCACTATTGAGCGAGGGCCAAGTTTCACGCGGGCGGAGACGAGATGCAGACCGAGGATGGCGGCGATCAGCAGACGTCCCCAGATCGGGTCATGCTCGGAGCAACAAAACTTGGTCGTGGGAAAAAGGGCCGGTGAAAAAGCATAAAAGGCGCCACCGGCTAGTACGAGACCGGCAAGGAAGATTGTGGTCTACAGTGGAGGCAAGCAGCGGGGGTGAAAAGATGGGGTCGAGGCATGCCGAACGTAGATGGACCGCGCGGCGGGGTTCATTGGGGCAGACTTGACTAACCCCAATCAAATAAAAGCCGAGAAACCCGAGCACCAGGCCTGGCAGGACTGGAATGAGATAGTAGGCGCTAATTTTTCTGTGCATATGGAGGTGACGGTGAGGGGTGGCGAGCTTTACAGGGATCGAGGTGGGCCGAAAAAACAACAACAACAACAACAACAACAACATTAACAACAACTTACTGGCCAAAGTCTGATGTGTTGGTCGGCGGTGCGGTCGTCGGGATCCATGTTGGGCTGGTGAATGTCGTTGTTGATGCGGCATACAGTCCCGGTGTCGACGAGGGTGAGACAGAACCCATGTCGTTGGTCTGTGCGAGTACCACGGCCAGCCCAGTCAGGACGAGCAGCACAGATGATCGTGCCATGGCTGGTTTGATAAGTGCCATCCCTGTCATGCAAAAAGCTGCTCAAGGAAAAAAATAAAAGTTCTTGCGAGAATTACTCAACGGACTCCGCCATAGCCACGGCACAAGATGCACAAGCACCGGCACGTTGTCGTGGTGTGTCTTCCCCTTGCTGCCTGCACACCGAATCGGCCCGAGTCCGAAAAGCCGACGAGTCCGCAACCAGAGCAAATCAGAAAACACACTTCTCATGACAATATCATCTGACAATAATATATGACAATAACGTCTGACAACAGCTCTTTTATCTGGGTTGGCCTTAAGAGTTGTTGGCTACATGTTCTGGTCATGGGTTTGCGTGAGATTCTTAGAGGGATCCATGTGTTTCTGCATTAACATGATTATCTGCTGCAACATGTGAGGGCTCTGACTGGTATGACGCTCCAGGACGTCATGGGTTGAGTATGACAATCTTACGATGCGGAATAAAGTCCTTGTTCATGACATTTCGTCACCCATAACCACCGCTCGAGCGCCCCCACCATACACATGGCAGAGACAGAAGCTGGCGCAGCCGGCGATCTCAGAGAGACTGACGTGCTGCGACTATTCTCTGGCAAGTTAGCAAGCTGCTTTTCCCTTGATTCCAGAGACCCGGCTCCAGTCCCGTGATCCAAAAGAGACAGAACCAGCGAGCCAGCAGCAAGCCACGGAAAGCGTGTGCAAGTTGCTCGAGCGACGGGTTCGGGGGGTTTTTTTTTTTTTTTTTTGCTCAAAACGGCAGTGCCTCCCGCCTTGACCGACCCTGCCTGCTTTCGGACCAGTTGGCAGCAACAGTCGGCAGTCACCTGGCCGAAGCTACCCATTGGGTAGCCCGCACGTACAGATCAACGCAAAATATGAAATGAAAAAGGGAAACCAAGAACCAAAAAAAAGTAAAAAGTCGGAACTTGACGTTCAAAACGCTGCCTGCTTATGGGAACAATCAATTGGCGTTTGATCAATGGCAGCGGGAGGGCGAGATCAGCCCAATGATCCGCAGCCAGAGGCCGGAGGCTGAGACTGAGCCGAAGATGAGGAAGATTGGAGCACAGAGAGGGTGAGTGCGCGCAGAGCGATCGTCGAGGATGATGAGGCGTTTTGGCCATGTCCACGCGCGCGTTCATGCGTGCGTGTGTGCGAGTCAGCATGTGAGTGGTTCGCATTTTCAACGGGCAAGCGCGATTCTCGCTCTGCACTCGCGCTGTCTATTTTCTGTCTGGCTCTGTCCGTCTCTCGCGGTCGGTGTGTCTGCCACTGCCTTTGCAAAGGCCAAGCGATACCGCATCACACTGGGTTGCCCTGTCTGCCAAGCGCCAAAAAGCTGCTTTTCCGGCGTGGCCCCTTGGCTGCAGTCAGCTCCGGCCCAGATGCGTTGCACCCTCTGATCCACTAGCGATCAAGGTGCTTCTGCAATCCCAAGAACAAGACTTAATCTTCTTTTCTTGGCAGCGGCTCGACGGGTTGCGTGACACATCCGGCCCACACGCAGCACAAAACTTCTGCTGCTCGCCCAACCTCCTTCTTGCATGGAAACCCAAGACGCGCAAGGCTGCCAAAATTCCCCAACTGCCAGCCACCTCTGAGAAATTCACAGACACATTGCCCCAGCAGAGGGACTCGTTCATGTTTCATGCTCGCTTCGCCTTCTGACTGCCCTGCCCCAACTCCAAACCAGCCTGTCAACGGTGACACCCAAGTGTAGTGTGATTCTGTTCCAACAAGCACCCCCAACACCACCTTCTGCAAGCCTCTCTCCTCAACGTCATCTCAGGCTTGTCTTCCCTGTCCACCCTTTTGATCCCAGTCTTGTGTCTTGCGTGATTCTCTTCTCGGTCTTTGTGTTTGGTCGCTGCCTGGCCGCCACAGCGCCAGTGCCACAGACCCACACACACAACAGACACACACACAGACACAGACACACACACACACCAGACACACACACACCAGACACACACACAGACACAGACACACACACACACACCAGACACACAGGACAGACTACGTGATTCTTACGTTTTAGTCATTTGACCCTTTCTTTCCAATTTCCATCGTTTCTGCCGAAAAAAGCAGCAAAAACGGTGTTGGTGCTTGATTCCTTGGCCCCAACCCGATCAAGTGTGTGTGTGTGGCCCGTTCCGCAGCCACACGGGCTTTGCGGACTGCTTTATCGTTGTGTGGCGCATGGGTGCTTCAGCGCCATCCGCCACAGGTCCATTCTCGACCCAACTCCATTCGTCGTCCCAACGTCGTGAGCTCCTCTCTCAAGTCGCTGTGTGCCTACCATCATGGTCACCGACGCTCTTTCGCGACACAGCGAGGCGGGCAGCCTGGATAGCTCAATGAGCAGCCGTCACGGTCATGCTTCTGTTGCTGCTAGCGACGTCGTCGCAAGCCACGCCGAGCATCGGCATGCTCCCTGGCCCCTTCATGCTCTCGCGGAAAGGTTGGCGTTGCCGTTGGGTTTTGCTATGCTTCACGGGGGTGTTCAAAGGCCGACGGACTTGGCACGAGCCAGGCCTTTTGCGATACCTTGGTCTCACTTGCTTCTCTTCTGTCCTTCTTGTGATGGATTGTTTTGCTTGGGTCCTTTGCCTTGCCGGTAGCGCCCACCCTAATCCCAATGCACAGAGCACCTGTCCCAGCTTGATTCGAAATCGCTTGCGCCTCACCGATGGTTCGTGTCGGCTTGCCCCTCAAGCCTTGCATACCTGTATTCGCCCCTTCTTTCGCTCTTGCCAAGGCCATACGGGTTGTTTTTTTCGCTCTTGTATCCCTGGTTTTTCCTCATCCTCTTCCACCTGGTTCACGGCTGGTGAATGTAGGTGTCGCTGATCCTGGATCAGCGCATTTTCAACATCGACGCCGCTCGCGTTCCCTCAGCCCCGACCACACGCGCACCGGTCTAGCCGCTGCCCTTGACTCGGCTGCGACGGCACAGTCCACGTTCACCATCAACCCCCTCGCCGACTACGACAACCTGCACAGCTGCCCGCCTGGCCACGAGACCCCTTACGAAGCCATTCCGCCTCGTCCCAGTCTTGACGCCCGCCTCAACGCCTCCCGTTCGCACGTCGAAACTCCGCCCCTGCGCCGACAGCATCGACGCCACACTGACCAGGATCTGACATCCCAACGTACCCCCGTGTCTCCCGAGCCCCGCCGCGGCCTCTCGGCCATTCGTGCCTTCCTGGGTCGGCTTTTGCATACCCACCATCGAACGTCTCCTCATCACGAGTGTGACGACGCTGCCACCGACGAGTACTTGACCGCGAGCTGCTCCAACCTCGACCCCGTGGCCTCGACGACTCGCGCTTGCCCCATCCCACATACTGTCAACAGTTTGCCACAACCTCACACACCCAACCCCGCCATGCTCCACCGTCCGCTTCCCCATCGGCCCGACTCTGTGCTTGCAGATATGGACGATCGCGTGCCCGTCGCCTATGGAAACTGGCGCGATGGTCACAGCCATGCTGCCGAAGTCAATTTGGACGTCGATGCGGGCAGTGCCTTTAGTGGCCTGGATGAGGGTGATGCCTCGCTGGCTTCGACACGTGCTTCTGCTGAGCTGAACCAGCTCTACTCGCGTGTGCACCATCCCGCCACTTCTCCGTCCCCTCGTAGTCGCTTGGCCACCCCCACGCTTGCCCTTGGCGCCGAAGTCGAGGACAACGAGCCCATTGCAGCGTTGGGCGGCCACCTCCACCGCGCCTCACAATGCTCCAATACGTCGTCCGTTTATGGATTCGGTACCGACAGCAAAGGCTCGTCTCGCCCTGGCTCCTCCATGGATCCACCGCGCCGAGTCACTCTCTCGGTCGATCGCCAGATGGCCGTGCTTCAGCGTCGTTCAGCCTCGGCCCGTGCCGGTCGTGCGGACGACGTGCGCGTGACCCACACGCCCTCGGGGTTTCCCCTGCGCAAGGCCTCGAGTGTTCATGGCCGACCCCAATCCAACAAGCTCAAGCAAGCTCGCGTCGTGTTTGATGATTCAAACGCCATGAACTCGGCAGACTCGCAGTTGCTGTGCCCACCCTCTTTGCCTTCTCGTCCATGCTCGGGCGAGATGCGCCGCCTCCTTTCCATGCGCTCCATGGCCTCTGCAACTGGCTTCGAGGAGGCCGATGATACCTATGCCCTTGTCAGCGAGGCGGCTCGGCGCTGGGGCCCGGCAAAGGAGTCGCTGCGAATGTCGCGGCAGCTGGCGACCGGTACGCGCAGCAGTATGGCCTCGGAACACTCGGATGGCTATGAACCCGTCAGCGACGAGCCACTGGCAGCCAGCTCGCCCGACTTTTGAGCGCTTAGCTGCTGCTTGTTGCAAGCCTTCTTGTGCGCCAGCACGCACCATTGAGTGTTGATAAGATAGCCATCATTGTGTATTTGTTTATATACGCCCAAGGCGATCAAGAATGTGGTGCCGGCGAGGTCAGGCCAAGAAGGGTCCTCGCTGTCCTCTCACATGCTGTGCATGACCGGCCTACTCGGCTTGAAACCACACCCAACTTGTTCTCTCGGATCGTGAAGACCACGGTCAACCTACCCCAGGCTGTTCAGCAGCACAGTCGGTGCTGCTCAGCCTGGCATTAATCGTTGCCTTGATCCTGATCTTCTCCTTATTTTGTCCATGTTTCCCAGGTTGATCCAGCTCTTTGAGCAAACACATTATCTCTTGTCCTGTAGTTTAGTTGAGACCAGGGCTGGCTGTGCCTAGACCCTATTTTTTCTTGTTCTCATATCTTTCTTGTCCTTTGACGGCTAGCGACCCGTCTCCCGCCTTGCGCGTTTGCACCATGTGCAACTACTTGTTCGTGAGAGCCCTTTGGCTATTCTTCTGTCTGATTGCTTCGATTTCATGTTGCCTGACTCCAATTGACTCGATAAACACGATGAGGGTTCTCTTCAAAATCCACTATGGACTCGATGATAACACAATGAGAGGGGTCTTTGCTCGTGGTCCATCACGAAAAGACGGTGGGCTTGAAAGTCTCTTGCACCGTGAATGGGTGCTCTCGAAGTTGAGGGTGCTCGATCACTAGCTGTAGGTTACGTGGCCGCCAAGCATACAAGTGGTGAGAGACTCAAGTCCTTCACGATTCCAAACGCCAACGCAAGCGGGTTCTTGCACCTGGAAGACTGTCCGTGGTTGATGGCAGCGGCTCTCAACGTGGTGTTGGTGGGAATCGTCGAGAATAAGCACGCTGGCATTTTTCCAGCACCGAACTTGCTCTGCTACCTGTATGGCAGCACAAGCACCGGCCTCACAAGATGCTATTGCAATTGCTGGCGTGAAGAAGAGAAGTCCGCGAATCGTTGTGTGGGCACTACAGCCAGCCCAAAGGAACGGGGATTGTGCCAACCAACCGTCATCTTTTGGGCTAAGCGTCAAGAAATCACAAGTTTGATCGGGAGTGGCACAGCGTGGAATCTAATGGAGGGATTGAGGAGGAAAGCCGCCTTGCAAGGGCTGATGGGATATACAGCATTTTTGGCTAGAAGCTCAGCTTACCTCAAGACCAAGATGAAGCTTCCACCGTGTGTTGGAGCTGCCAAAGTGGGGCAGGATTGTAGCGTGGGGAGCAATCCGCGAATAGCTACCTCGCAGTAAGCGCAGGCCGGGAAACTGGTGTCGTTGATGTAAATGAGCCTCAAGGCGCGATTCCAAGCTCGCTTTGAGAGGAGATGCAGACAATAACATGTCCAGCGAACCTGAGTCACAAGTGTCTGCATAACAGCACATGCCGCAGGTGCTCGGATGGAGCAGCCGCGTGTATCCAGAGGCTCCCAGGCAGCAGTCACGTCATATCTTCAATGGGAGTAGAGTGCCGCGAGATTGCGATATGAAGATTGTCAACATGCAGCACACGCTTACCCAGCGGCATGCCACTATTCCTAGCCCTTTGATTGCTTGATTGAGCCAGCAGACGTACCGCCACCATGATGGAGCTTGCTCCAGGGCGAGACAGTCCTCGTCCGAAAAGAAAGCGCCCCGACGCCAAAGCGCTCGTGCTTCCCGTCGGAGAGCCGCGTGGTGGCTCTATTAGGCACCCAGGCCGGGGCGATGATCAGAGAACGGAACACAGTGCCGATGTCCACTCCTGGTGACGGATGACCTTGTCACAGAAAGGGCAAAGCAGGGCTGACCAACCTCGAGCCGTTGGGCAATGGCCTCGAGCCAGGGCTGGGAAATGTTGAGGCACGGAAAATTTTGGTGTGTGAGTGAGCGGGCCCAGGCGGCACAAACATGGGGCGCGTGGAGATGGAGGAGCATGGGATCGGGCTCAGCACAAACCGAGGGGGCAGGGAAGGGGTCACTGGAAAGCTCAGGAAAGAACGTGTGGGGGAACTGCCATGCAGAGAGATAGTTGTTTGGTGGCTTGAGGAGTCGTCGACGCAATGCAGCTGCCTCCTCTTGTAGCAACGCGAGCTCTGTGAAGACAATGCCGAAAAGCGTGATGACATTAAGGCACGAAGAAATGCGGGCGAGAAGAGGCGATTAGCCGGTGCCCCTTCCCGCAATCATGCTGCAACATTTCTTGCCTCTTGCCAGAGCCTTAAGCAGCCCTTTTATGGATGGCTGACCTTGGGAATCGGAGTGAGGCGCTGGCCTGCCTTGCAACTGAAGAACCATGGCGCGGAGGACGTGAACAAGCTGGTCCCGAAGTGCATCGGCAGTCTCGGCAGGGCTGAGACGCGCCAATACACTCGGAGTCTGTGGTATCGATGGTGTTCATTTCATCAAAATCGACATTAGGGCGTCTTGCACAGGAGCTCGCGGGGAACCGAGTCTCGAGCGGGCAGGTCCCAGCGCAAGCAAGTACAGCACCCACCGTGCCGAGGCGACCATGAGCAAGAGCTACGTCGTGATCAAGTTGGCAGGCGGCGGCTCGACTGATAGCCCGGTGTATAAGGGCCCGGGCCTCGTCGCTGAGCTGTGGGCCCAGCAGATCCATGGTCTCACTGAGCCAGGACAGGGCCTCTGTCGAGCGACCCAAATGCATCAAATCCATGGCAATGTCCAGGCGCTGGGCCAGCTGTCCATAAGCAGAGTCCTGCTGTGTGATCAGCAGATCAACAAACACAGTAACATGCGCGAGGGCGTGCACGTGAGATCAGCTTGGGTTGCTCGCGCCAACGGCATACACGCGATCCATTACACGACCGGATGTTGGTACAGGGCATCTTGATGAAGCTCAAGGGCCGTGTTGTGCTCGCGTAAAGCCCGGGCAGCTTGAGCTGTAGCACGCCAGGCAGATGCCGAATAGCCTTGGGTCTGGTTCCAGACGCGTAGCTGCTCCATCTGCCGAACTAGCTGCTCGTGGGCCGTAGCTGTAGCCGTCGTTGTAGGTGGGGGGGCCTGCCATAGATAGCCAAGAGGGACGAGGCCAGCCAGAGGTATAAGTTTGAGAGTCGGCAAGCAACCAAAAGAGAAAACGCAGATCAAAGGCATTTCACCGCCAAGTTTCCAGCTAACCCACCGCCACCGTCACCGCTGCCAGGACCAGCATTATCATTCTCAGCGGCAGCAGTAGCCGCCGTCGCCGCAGCACAGCCATCGTCAACTGCTTTTAACAGCCAGACACAGAAATGCTGACAATGACAATGTAAAAGTACACTCTTTTATTTTAACCTTCACTTGTTCAGGTCTAGAGGTGCAACACGATGCCTTCGCGCGTTGCAAGTTTGAGGCGGGAAAATTCAATTTGAACGAGACGACCAGAGCTGACCAAAAATACTCAAAAGAAGCTGTCAACCAGTCGTGTGTGGATTTTGGTCCGTTGCGTCCGCCAACCTTTGTGCCTCTTTTACAGCAACAACAGCAGGAGAATCGGTGGTGCTGTGCAAGCTCCAGCTTGATGCCACCCCACCCCACGCGGACAATCCGTCGTCGGCTTGAGCTGAGCGTGCACCAAACAGACCGCTTCCCCCAGGCCACCGACATGGCACTGCCACCAGTTTTCCCCACTCGTGGTGCTCAGATCAGTGACCATCAGAGGTGCGATCAACCGCATGCCACCACGCTCAGTGACTCCGATTCTTCGGCTATGCTTGCAGCGAGGAGTGGTGCCTCGTGCTAGACACACACCTTGGCTCCAACTGTAAACTCACGCAGCCTCTGCATCCGTCTGGCGCTCTTTTTGCTTGCAGTAGCTGTACCAATCTTGCCGACAGATTCATCCTTGATGGTCAAGACGCACCGGACGCATCCTTTCGCAGTGTTTCTCCCGATCTTTGCGCCATCACTACCGCGGCGGCAGATTGGGGAGACGACGAAGATTCCTGCTGGCTTGCTTCCTCGGCCACCTCTTCACCGTCACGAGCCATGGCACCTTCTTCTACAACACAGGGTAGAGTGGGCGCACTCTCCCCCTCGGACCTGGCCAAAGCCTCGCTTTGTGTGGCTGGGGGAAATGGCCGTCGGCGACGGACGAGCCGGTTCGTGAAACGCCAACACTCTCCCTTGTTCATGAAGATGATCTTCTCCCCCGACCTTTGAAACTCACGCGACGATATCCCATACAGACGAGGGCCACTGCGCCTGATCCACAACAACACTGAGGCGGGCACTCCACCAGGCAAAGGCAGTCACGGCACACCCAAAGCCCGGGTTGCCATGACGCCGCGCTCAACAGTGCGCCGCAGATATCGTCGCAACCGCATGTTCTTTGAAGCGCACGCACAACACGCCACACCTCGTCCTTCAGCTCCGACTCATCGTTCGCACGCACTGGCTGAGGCGAGCGCCTCTGATTCCGAATATTCCAGCGCGGCGTCCCAGACTCCACAAGCCTCGACCACCGGTGGCCCCAGAATCGCGAACGCAGGTCAGAGAACAGCCATGCTCTTACAAACACCAGTCTCAGCGGTCGGCACTGGCGTGCCGTCGAGTACGCTGTCTGCCTGCTCGGACGCCAGCTCCATCGCAAGCCTCGACACATCCAGCCATAGCCGCGCCCTGGCCAGCCCAGCACTGTCGATGGGCAGCCACGGACCATCTTGGCCTAGTATCACAACCGAGGACGTTGACGTCTGGGAGGACGTGGATGAGCTACTGGAGCAGCCTCATCTTGACAAGGACGGCAAACGCACGGCGGTCGAGAGCGGTGTATCAAGCGCCGCCTCGAGCGCGCCATCCAGTGCCATCTCGCATCATCGCAAGGGTCGCCGTGTATTGCGAGCGTTGGCGCACTTTGAGGCCCTGCTCAAGGCCGCAGCTGGAGGCGCTTCCGCGGCTGCTCTCCAGCAAAAGCTGGCCGCTGCTGAAACACCCCGACGACGAACGCCTCGGCCTTCACCTGGAGCACGGCGCGAAGCGGCTTGGGCGGCAGCACGCCATCGGCTCATGACCGCCAACGATAACCTTGAGGAAGAGCTCGAGGACGCGTATGACCAGCTGGCCACCACACGCCAGGAGGTCATTCGTGCTGAGCAGCAGCGAGATGCGCTCAATGCCGAGGTGATTGAACTATTTCAGCACGTTCAGGACCTCGAAGGTGCAGTAGCCCGCGGGGATGAGGAGCGTCGTCAGCTACAAGCTGAGCTGAGTGACGTCACGGCAGAGCTTGTGCAAGTTCAAGCTCAGCTCGTTGAACAAGAAAGCATCAATCAAAACCTCCGCGCTGAGCAACACCAGCAGCGCCAGCTCCACGTCGAGACCACCCATGAGATATCTCTGGCACGCGCACAGGAGCAGGACGCCTGGGCCACTGAAATTGCTCGATTGCAGGAGGAGTTGGCCGAGCAGCAGCGAGGGCAAGGTCACATTGCTCACGAACGGGAGGCTGAAATTGAGGCTTTGACGTTGGCCCAGGATCAGCTTCTGCACGAGCACGAAACTGCCATCGGCAGCTTGAGGGAGGCTTATGAGGCCGAGGTAGCGCGGTTGCAGCAGCACACGGCAGATTTGGAAGACGAACTGGTCAGCAGTCGGGAGACGGAGGCTCTGTTGCGTCGTCGCATCGATGCTGGCATGGTGACCGGTACGTATCTGACGTTGTATAACCACCACGTTTGTCTTGTGTTCGAGTTGGGCATTGGCGTTGGGGTATCGGCCATCTGCTCGCATAATCTTGCATGTGAATCAACGAGGGAGGTGCCTGATCTCGACTCATCCTTTTGGTAGGCACAGCTCGCTTGGATGCAGCACAGCGGGAACTGGCAGCTTTACGCGATTTGCACACTGAGCTTCAAAACGCGGCCAAGCAGGGATTTGGGGCGGTTCAAGCCCAATGGCAACAGTTGCAAGGCGCGCTTGTTTCGGTGCTGGAGAGCCCGCACCAGCGCCGCCAGTTGCTCGACCTGCTCCGCTCAACCACGCAGAACGTGCTCGATCAGGATGCCGCTGCCAAGGTGAGGCGGGGCTGTTAGGTTGTTGCCAGTTGGCTGCCATGAGGCTGGCTGTGCTGTCCTATGAGCCATCTGTTGCACCTCTTCGCTTCCTCGCTGACAGATGGTGCTCTTTGCTGATAGGTGGCGGGTCGTGAAAAGGATTGGCTGCTGACGCGCATTGTGGACTTGGAGGGTCGCTATAATCTATTGGAACAGAGCTACATGAGTTCGGTGGTTTTGAACATCAAGCTGCATGCCGTGTCCTCGGGCGCGGGCTCGCGCTTTCGGACCCAGGTGCGTCGTACTTTTGTAGGCTAGCGTCATCCAAAGCTCATTCCGTTGAATCGGGTCTGGTGTGCTGACGCATTGACGCATGGGTGCTGTGCGCATGGCAGGCCTATTCAGCCAACACGTTGTTCACCAAAGCCAAGCTGGAAGGTGTCGCTTTTGTGGAATGGCCCAGCTGGGTGGCTGACCTTATTCTAGACACGCGGCAAGATCGGGCATAAGCTTTTGCTTTTTCAACGCCTTTTGGTTTGTGTGTTTTCTTTTTCCTTTCTTTCTTTTTTTTTTTTTTCTTTTTCTCGGGCTAGTCGTCCCGTGCCAAACGTGCCGAAGGGTTAGGTCGCGCGGCTCGATTGTCTAGGTTTTATCGTTATACCCGCTTCTTATCGAGGCAAGGCTGATGCTGGGGGACGGGTGCTCGTCTTGTGTCATCCCAGCCAATCGAGCCACAATTTCTTTTCTCTCGGTGAAGAGTTATTTGGGATTTCATGTCATGTTTGACAATCATTATTATGATGTCCCAGCTTGCAGGTCAAGGGGGCGATGAGGTCAAAGAGTCGATTAAAGGGGGTTCACTTAAAGAGCAAAAGAAGACGCAGACCAATAAAACCATAAAAGAAACGCTGCGGCAAGTAAGACAAGGACAAGCTCTCCATGCAGAGATTGCACGTGATGATCAACACCACGAGGAGAGCCGTTACAAGGTTTCAAAGACCCAGCACGGCCCCGGGCCGTGTGGCTTTGCTACGATGGACAGGCGACAGAAACAAAGAGAGACGTGCAAGACTCAAGAGTCGGAGAAGAGAAAGTTGGAAACGGCAAACTGATTCGCTTCCCGTCCTCTACTGACAGGCAAATATTCTGGCGGCGGGGGCACCGGCGTTCATGCTCTGCATGGCGGCAGCGGTGGCGAAGGCGGGAAACTTGAAGTTGGGTGGCATGCTCATCATGGGGCTGGCTTGACTGAGCATCATGTTGGCAGTGGGATGCTGTTGTTGTTGTTGCTGCATCGGCGTAACCGGGGCCTGCGAGTGCGTGGCCATGTTCATCCAATTGGCTGGGTTGAACATGGCGGGAACGGAGGTGGATGTCGGGGTGACGGCGCCGGCCATGAGGGGCATGGAGTAAACATTGGCTTGGCGCATGGCCATATGCAAGGCGGCCTGTTGTTGCTGCTGTTGCTGTTGAAGCAGTTGCAGGTTTGCAGGGGTGATGCCTGACTTGGCAGCGGCCATGAGCATGGCCAAGTCGTGCATGGGATGGCTAATGGGGGAGGGCGCGCCAAAAGGGGCGCCGACTGAGGCTGGTGACGCGGCTTGGGCGGTTGTGTTGGGGGAGTGGATGGCGGCCAGGGCGTCGGCGGGTTTGGTGCGCTTTGCCGGGGGCTGAGCTTGACTGCCAAAGGCGGACAAGGAGGCCATGGGGTCGGGGATGGAGTTTGAGTTTGCTGTCACGGAAGTGGGGTTGACGGCAGTGTTGCGCGCAACGTCAGAGGCCAAAGACGTGATGGGCACTTCCACTTCGTGGCAGATGAGACCCTTGTGCTGGCTAAGTTTCTGGTGCCGGCGCAGGGAGAAGTAGTGGCTGTAGCGGCGGTGGCAGCCGTCCTGGGTGCATTCAAAGGGGGTGACTTGAAGGTGGGAGAAGAGGTGAATGGTGGTGTTGTCCGTGCGGGAGAGGTTTTTGGCGCAGATCATGCAGCGGAAGACGTGTTCGTGTTGGCGGCAGTGGGCTGACATGTCACGGAAGGAGGTTGATTCGTAGTGACATTCCTGGCAGAGGAAGGGGACGTTGATGAGGTGAAGGTGGCCACTCGTGTCCAGTTTGAGGCGGGGACGGGTGTCCTTGGTGTCAGTTTGCATGATGCAGGTGCGCATGGAGAGCGTTTCCGAGTCGAGGGCGTCAGCAGCAGCCTTTCGCTTGTTTGATGATGCGCTGCCTTTGTCCTCGGAAGCGGACGTTTCCTGTTCCTCCTGGCTATGGTCATCATGGTCATGGTCATGGTCGCAGCACGAGGGCGAGTCTGTTGTTGCAGCCCGAGTAGCTGCAGCATCTTGTTCACTGCCTTCACTATTGTTGCTGGTCTGGGTCACTGCAGCCGCCAGCGGCTGTTTCGCGGCGGTGGTCTCGCCCGTCATGGTGAGTGAATGGCGGTCCAAACCGGCGTCCAACCTTTCTCTTCCTATGCCTCGGGACCGGCAACCAGAGCATGCAAAGCACCTGCACAGAGCGAGAGAGAGAGGGAGAGCGAGAGAGCGAGAGAGGGAGAGAGGGAAAAGGGGAGAACTTGACGGGAAGGATCTAGTTCAAAAAGAGAAAAAAATGACGCTGCCGTGTGCTAAAGCCCGCGAGCTGCTCCCACAGAGGGAGAGAGAGATGTGTGAGTGTCTGTGTCGGAGCGCAGAGAGGCCACGCGACAGCGACAGCGAGAGAGAGAGAGAGAGAGAGAGAGAGAGAGTGGTAACGGGGGTGTCTATGTGTGTGTGTGGTTGAATCCTGATCATCATCAGTGTGTGTGTGTGTGTACGTTGGGTAGGACAAACAATGTGGGTCCTACAGTGAGGGGAAAGGGGGTGTGGGGAAAGGGGGGGCAGCTGGGGTCGATTCTGGGGAACTGGTGAGGTGTGGCATTTGCATGCGATTCCGAGGAAATGGTTTCGAGTGGCGAGAGTCCTGTTGGTGGTGTGGGATTTATCCAATGTGTGGTTCCTCAACCTGTACAGAAGGAAGGGGGCTTGCTTCCCTCAATGGAAAAAGAAAGTCGTATTGTCAGCATTTCGACGCCCTTATTCCAAGAAACAAGCTGCAGGGTGTTGAGAGGGATGACAAAAGGAATGATAATTATAAATTTGATAAGTGTTGAGGGCTTTAAGCTTGGGCTTTACAGGAGCGGGGCGGTGGGTTCGTTTCGTGTGCAATCTAAACCCTGAACGGCAGGATTGGTTTGGTGTTTGGCAAGATGGCGCCGTAACCCCCACAAGTGTCATGATTATGTGGGACCAGAACTCGGCCGATGCGTTCCTGATTGGTTGCTGAGAATAAAAGCGGTTTAGGCTCATTTTTTGTCTTGCTGCGAACATGGTCAGGTCCCATTCTTGCGTGTGGGTGACGGATTCTTGAGAATGTAGGTCTCGCCATCACCGCCAAACCAATTTAGCAAAATCTAAAGCCCACACATATCCACATGCGCAATCCACTATGCTCCCCCTCTTCCTGAACACGCTACTGGTGCGTCCAGAGTTCCTCGGAATTCAATCCCAAATAATTTCCCGTTCAGTGGCGCACCCATTTTTTTTTTTTTTTGTTTGGCCAAGCAGTCTACAGCATGGTGATAATGGCGTTGGAGGCGTTTCACAAGAGACTACTTGATGCGACGTCCCCCATGGGTATAAGAATTTAGCGCCGACGAGCAAACGACACCCTCCCTGCACATCAGAACAGGACCGTGCTGATGCAAGAACCACCTCATCTGTCAAGGGATGATCTTATGCCGTCGTCGAAACGGCTCTCTGTGTTTGGTTTTGGTTGTGGCTACAGGAACAAGCAACTGCCCCGCCGGCTGCCACAAACAGGTAAGGAGGAGTGACGGCGCGGTACATACTGTAGCGTGGCGGTTGCGTCGGAGGTGTTGTTGATTCACGTCCTTGTTGAGGTCGCGTCCGAGATGCAAGACTTGACTTGACCAGGAGGACCCCTCCCAAGAAAAACGCAGCCGAAGGCTGCACGGGCCTACTCTTGCCCACACCAATGGCCGACCCGGCTTCACCCCAACTCGAGCCGGGCACTGGGTGGCACGCTCTGAATTTCAGCTCACCCGGGGCGTTGTCGGGTCAGCACGCCTGCCCATACTCAACCAAACGAGGTTGACTTTCCGCTGTTTTGGTCGTGCGTGCGTGATTGGCACTGACAACTCATGAAAAACATTCTTGATCAGACACTTCAATTCACCTTCGTGCAGGCGGGGGTCGGTCGTCGTTATCAGTTTTTGTACGCCAATCTGATTTCTCCCTTTTTCCCATTGCACGTGAGCGATCTTGCTTCTGCTTGCCTCTGTATCACAAGTCTGGAAAGTTCCTTCCGGCTCTCCTCTGGACAATGTTTTGGCAGCCGCAGTCGCCTTCGCGAGAATCATGGCTCGCCGCATAACCAAGACCGGCTTCGAAACGGCTGCCACGCAGATGCAATGTCAAGCAGGAGCAAGAATACACAAACGAATCGAAATGGAATAGAGAAGAGGAAAGCTATAGATTTTGGAGAGAGCGCACAGTCGTGTGCGGCTCAACTGGCCAACAACTACGACGCTAAGACAAACGTTGGCAAGTTTCCCTGGTCGCACAAACGTGCAGACAACAGACATGCACAAGCCACCCGACCTGCTTTAGGCTGCGGTCAGGGACAGGAAGATGGACTGGTGGGGGTTCAGATCCTTGGCCGTGAAGCTGCCAGTAAAGTTGCCCAAAGACTTTTGCTCCAAAATGTCATACACGGCCATCGTCTGGTTGCTCGCCACACCCAGCCAGTTGAAGGGTAGCGTCACCGTGCGCGTACTATTCCCGAGTCCACAACCACCGGCAGACAGACACAAACACAATGATTGCATGAGCACCGGTTGCCATACGACAGAATCAGCCCAATTATTTTCTCAACTCCCATCCATTCCAGGCAAGACCCGAAAAAACCACCGCCACCACCAACACCAACAACTTGACACGCAAGGCGAGCTCGTATCAGACATGACCCATGTACGCACCCTTGGTCGGCAAAGTTGAGGAGCACGGCAGCATAAGTGCCGTCCGAGAGTTTGCGGCCAAAGATGGGGCAGTCACCCGTGCGAAGATCCGACGCGATGCAGTTGGCATCGGCCGCCTGGCCAATCAGGCGTCCAGGCGTCGATTCGTCTGTGTGTTTCAAACACGTGAGAATCATTGCGAAGAGTTTATGCCAAACGAACCACGGCCGATCAAGCACAAAGAACGCACGATCCTGGTTGATGGCGATGGCTTGCTTGTTGAGAAGGCACTGCTTCATGACGGCCGTCATGTTGCGAATGTCCGTGCTCACAATCAAGGGACTGCTGCTAATAGTCCACACTGAGAAGGAGGTGCGGTCTACAAGTGCATGGAAATAACGCCACGGGTGTTCTCCGACATGAGCCTGGCCATGGCAACAAAGCGCAGACTCCGTTGGGTGACTTGAGGCAAGAGGACCAAAACTCACATTCATCATCCGAAGAAAAGGGGCAATGGTCCGAGTTGTTCAAATTGCAGCCAGGGCCACCTGCGCCGGGTGCGGCAGCCGTCGAGGGGTCGGGGCCACGATAAATTAGAATGTGCACTAATCACCTTTGGTGATATTCGCAAATCTACATACCGGTCATCAAGAAATCACCATAGTTCCACTGGTTTGGGCCCTAAAGACGACCACAAGCCAGTACAATCGCTGAGCCAAGGGCGCAAGATGCAGGAGGAGCAGACAAAAAACAAAAAAACAAAAAAAAAAAAAGGAAACAAGGAAAAAGGGGAAAAGCCAGAAACAGCAAAGAACAAAAAGGTGCGCTCGTTCAGGAACTGCATCCAAGTCACCGAGCAAAACAGACCGCTTGGTTGGAGGGAATCATAAAGCCCTCAATCACGGTCTTGGTGTTGCTCCACTCATCTTGGTGGTCACCTGTGATGCGCCACGACTGGGCAACCTGCGGCAATCGGTTCATGTCACAAATGGCAGGGCAGGTCAGAGTGGGCAGTGTCCAAAAGACAAGCCGGTCTGAAGTCGCACATGTTTGTGCATGGTATCGGATCGGGCAGGGGTGCTCTCGCTCACCTCTGTCACGTAGTCAGGAATGGGGTCATACGAGTAGCCGCGGCAAAGCTCCAGCCAGATGGGGCGACCGGTTGCGTTGAGTGCCTTGGATAACTCCGTGTGCTGCGTTTGAGCATCGTTGAGCTCACCACCGCACCAATCCACCTATATAACGTCGTGATGTCGTAGCAGCGGCGAAATCAGGGTCACAAGGCAACGCACACAATTCAGAGTTACGTGCGCGCCCAGGGGGCCCTGCCCCACACACGAGCAGACGCACCTTGACATAATCCATGCCCCACTCGGCAAAGGTCTTGGCATCTTCGGCGTAGTGTCCAAAGGAGCCAGGAATGGGAAGGGGGCGACCACCGTGGTTGCACGTCTCCGTGCCCATGGAGGTGTACAGGCCAAACTTGAGTCCCTTCTCGTGGAGCCAGTCCGCCATGGCCTTCATGCCCGAAGGGAAGCGCGACGGATCTGGCTGAATGTTGCCATTGGAGTCGCGCTCCTGAGCAGCCCAACAATCGTCTGGAATTCCCGAGTCCCATTGCGAACACCACGGGTGTGAATGAGTGCAAATACCACTGGCCTCCCCCTCTCGCTGCACTGGACTTTGGTGACGGTACGGTACTTACCCAAGTTGATGTATTGAAAGCCCAGATCATGCATGCCGTTGCTCAGCATGGCCTCGGCAATCTCACGCAGCTCCCATTCGTTGCAGCGATCAAAGTAGCTAGAAGCACGCAACGCCATTCAGTTCATTTCAGTGAGCGCACCGATCACGACCCGGTTCTCAAATCAAAACGTGCCAAGAAAGACGAGGAGGAGAGCCGTTGTTCGACACCAAGGCATCGTACTTGTTATCTCCGTTGTGGCAATCCGAAAGGGTGCACCAGGTATTCCAACCCAGAGCCGGCTTGAGCGCCACACCATTATCATAGGCAGCCACCATCGAGGCCATCACGGCCAGCACCGTCAACACCATCGTCGCCGCCATTCTGACTGATGATGATGATGAGCAAGAGAAAAAAAAAAATTAATGCACGACATCCATGTACTATCTATATTTAGCACTTTCGCTTGCAAGACATTTAAAGTGTAGTCTATATCACACTTAATAATTTTGAAAGTCTGACGTTTGATAGAGAATGACAATGTGTTGATGTTTTCAGAACTGTTCTGTTCTTGTTGATGTAAGTTACATGTTGGTACTAGTATAGTTTATGAAACTACCAATATGTATTAAAAGATAGTTTATGCAGAAGATCGATAACTTAATGCAGATCATGTTTTTGTGAAGATCGACAACAGCAAGAGTGCGTGACATAGGGAGCGCGCCCCTCCCCCCGCTCAACACGGACCAGGATCAGTGTGCTCAGTGTGCTCAGTGGTCTCAGTGTGCCCAGTGGTCTCAGTGTGCCCAGTGGGATCAGTGTGCTCAGTGTGCCCAGTGGGATCAGTGTGCTCAGTGTGGAAAGAGATACGCTTGCAGGCGCTCCCTTTGTGGCGCAGGTCGCTGCTTTTCTGATTCTGATTTCTTGAAGCTGATGCATGATTGCTATTGACAGTGGATGCAGCTGCAGGATGCGCTGGTTTGGCAGCATACTACTTGTCTTGGCAGTGCAGCTGCGGCCGAGTGACAGCACGTGTTCAATCGTCGACTTTGGCGGCATCGGGGATGGACAACATGACAATGGTCCGGCGCTAACTGCCGCCGTTAATGCGTGCCTACAGCGCGGGGATGGTCACGTGCTCGTGCCGGCCGGCAACTTTAGCATTCAGCCCGTGGCCTTTGATAAGAACATTACCAATCTTCGTCTCTCCATTGAGGGCTTGCTCTTCAACGGGGCCACCCCCGAAACACTGCCGAGCCATGCCAAAGCCATCATCACCTTTCATGAGTCTCGAAACGTGACCATTGACGCTGGCATTAGTGTTCGCAGCGCCTCCACGGGTGTCGTGGACGGTAATGGCGCTGCTTGGTGGACCATCCGCCGAAAAACGCCCTCCTTCTTTGCCCCCGTTCTCTTCCTATTTCATAACACCGTGGGCACCTTAGTGCGCGATCTCTGGGTCCGCAACTCACCCATGTTCCATTTGGTGCACGAAAACGCCGCCAACGGCGTGATGGACGGCGTCCTCATCACCGCGCCCGCAGACTCGCCCAACACGGACGGCATCGATCTCAGTGGCTCGGGCTTCATCGTCCGTAACAGTCGCATCGACAACGGCGATGACGGCGTGGCCATCAAGCCTAGTTGTGCCAACGTGACCATCACCAACAACACTTTCCTGCACGGCCACGGTGCCAGTATCGGCAGCATTGGCGAAAATAACGGCACCGGTCACATCGCCAACGTGCTCGTTGAGAATAACACCTTCATTGACATGCAAAACGTGGCTCGGATCAAGACCTGGCAGGGGGGTCATGGCAGCGTCACCAACATTACTTATCGCCACTTGCGCGTACAAGATAGTGACCATGTCATCTTCATCACCCAATACTACTGCCCCTCCAGCCAACACAGTGGTGCGTACCCAGTTCCCAAGACAAGCCCTTGCACCCTCACCACCACCACGCGTTATTGAGGTCAGGTGCTCACTAAAGACCATGGTTGTCTGAATCACCACCTAGATCCCTGCAAAAACTACACGGATGCAGTTGTCATCTCCAACATTATCTTTGACGACGTGACCGGCACCTTCCAGGACTCGAGTCCAGGACAGTTGCTCTGCTCCGATACCTTTCCTTGCTCCAACGTCACTCTCCGCGATGTTAACCTTCAGGGCAATTCCAAGCACTATACTTGGGACTGCTGGCAGGTGCACGGGCAGGCCACCAACGTCACGCCGCCCATCACTTGCCTTGACACCTGAGTGCTGCCTAGCAGCCAGTTTCTGCTACAGCTCATAATCTCAATTGATACCCAACTGGAATCGTAAAGAATTCTGTGGAGTGAAGTGGTCCGGCCAAGAAAGCAAGGCCAAATCAAAGCCATCTCTCTTCTGGAGGCCCAGGCTACCAAAGACGTCAGGGCTACCAGACCACGGCACTCATTGGCCCCAATTTAAACAGAAACCACCCTGCTCGGCAGAGGGCTTGGGGCCAGACCTTGAAGCGCCAGCTCATGTCCCCACAATAGTGTGGCTGTGCTTTGACATTTACCGGCCTCGACGCTTGGGGCGTTTGCTCGCCGATTCCTACAGTTGTACCACCAAGCAAGCAGTGAGCAGAGCCGAAAAAAATAAAAATAAAAAAAGGGAGGGCGAGGGGGCAGGAGCTGGAACTAAGCTTCGAGATGGACAACGCACCGGCTCTTTGGTAACCACGGCCGCGCGCTTGCGTGAGCTTGCCGGGGTCTTCCGTCGCGCTGTTCCTACAACGGGTGGTGTGGAGATGAGTGCCGGCGTGATCCTCTGCATCGCCTTTTGGTCAAGATATCCGACCTCGTGTCTCCTGATCGCCTTCACCCTGTCGCATGGCCAGAATGGTATTGCGATACGAGGCAACGGCATTGCGCGCATCCTGTGCCATCTCGAGGGCTGCAATGTGCCTGGCGATTTGCAAACAAGGTCTTTGAGCTTATGGCCAGGCAACACGGGACTTTTTTTTTCGAGCTTCGGCTTTGGGGTACATACACAAAGTGATCTGGATCATTGTAAACGCAGGCATTGGTAAACATCAAGTTCATGGCACGTTCAAAATCACGCGTCGTCTTGATCGCCTGTACCGTCAAGACGTCAAAGCATGACAAAATATGGGCCCTGTCAGGGTGACGTCGGTGTGCACCCTCCAACCAATTCGCCCCGGCAACAAGTGCCGGCAGCCAGTTGAACATACCCCACTTTCCACACGGTGCTTGATCGTGCCCAGGTCCATGGGCTCTTTGATTTTCTGTCCGACATCATCAATTGCAATGCGAGTGAGCCAGAGGGAGATGAGAAAATTGCAAAGAACGGGCGGAGTCAGAGGCTGGGCGGCTCCAATTGGGAGGTTCAGCTCTCGATAGTGCGCACCTTGTGATAATCTGGTGCATGTTCTTCCTTAACGGGGTGCCGAAACAAGTTGGCGTCTTTGTGCCCCGCAATCTAAGAAGAAAGTTCAAACGTTAAGTGAGATTGCGCCACACAGGCCGATCGCCGAAAAATGCGCGCACGAGTCATGAGCAAAGAAAAGCAGTTGGCTTCGAGTGATAGCGCTGCCAGTGCAATTGGACTGGTGCGGCCAAGAAAAGGATGGACAACCCACCTGCGTCCATGCTTGCATGATTGACGCACGCCAACTTTTTTGGCGACGCTCCCGCTCATCCGGATCGTCTACAAAGCAAGGTATTGGAGTCGTTATCAGTCATCAGCCAATATGGGTGCAAACCACGCCAGCCAAGAGGCAGAGATAGCCTGCAGAAGTGCAGCAGCGACAAACCTTCCAGCTCCCAGTCGTCTTCAAAGTCCTCGGTAATTGGACAAAAGTCCTCGATGTGCGACGAGCGAATTTTCATGGCCGCTGCAAGACAGACGCAAATGGCAATGGCATATGATGGAAAATGATGTCACGGCAAAGAGCCACCAATCACGCCGTATGCTTTTGTTTTGAATGTGCCGGGAGCATGAACCTGTGTTGGACTCACTTAGCACACTTTCTGGAACAGCCGAGGCATATGGCGAATGCATGCGCGAGCTGCGAGGAACAATGCGGGCGTGTCAAGAGAGCGCATCCAAAAACTAGCTGCTGCTTGCATCAGGGCGTACCTAGCTGCGGATTCGTCTTCGACGTCGCGGCGAGCACTTCCACGGCGCGTTCGACTGCTTGTGCTCTCTATGGGCAACAAACAAATTTTAAACCCTCCAAAAAAAAAAAAAGAAAAAAAGAAAAAAAGAAGAAAAAAGAAAAACGAAGGAAACACTCATGTGCCGGCGACACAAGGTTGTGCCAGTCACCCGCGTAGCAAGGCCCTGTCTTGTAGCCCTGAACAGCGACGTACCGGCATCGGAAACGGTCTCTTCGACAACTGTACTGGCACCTGGAGAGGCCTTGAGAGAGGCGCGCGTCTTTCGCCCACGACCACGGGCGGGTGTCCGTCCGCCCCGACGCCCGGAGCGAACGGGTGTTGCAACCTCCTCCTCTGAGCCCTCGTCCTCCTCTCTGTCCTCGTTGTCCACTGCTTCGGCTTTGCTGGCCTGGTCGGTCTTTTCCTCCTTTTCGTCTCCTTCCTTCTCGCTCTGATCATCAGAGGTGGCCCGATCCTCGTCCTCCGCTTTGATTCGCGACTTGCTGGGACGCCCACGCCCAGTAGAGGCTCGGGTGGCGCCACGGGAGCTGCGCGATCCTCGTCGAGGGCCGGGCGTGGAATCGACTTTGTCGTGTGCTGCTGCCGCATCCGTGACCGCTTCATCCGCAGCCTCGCCATCGCTCTCTGCGGTTTCCTGCTTCACGGCTTGCGATGCGGTCTTGTCCTTGTCTTTATGGGGCTCGGTTTTGGCTTCAGACTTGACCACCGTCACGCTCTGGGCGAGCGGGTGCTTGCCGTCAGAAGGATTTTCAACAACCAAGACGTCCTTCTCTTCTTCATCAGAGGCAGCAGTTGAGCTGCTACGCGTCGCCTTCCTGTCCTTGTGGGGGACAGATTTGCTGCCCTGGTCTGGTGATTTGGCTGATTCAGTTGACTCGTTCGCTTCGTTGGCCTGTTCTGACCCCTCTACGTTTGTTGAAGAGGCGGCTGTGCCGTCCCCCGGAGCCTTGTCCTTGGACTCGCGAGCATCCTGCTTGTTTGAGGCGCCGGGTTGAGAAGCCTTGTGCTCCTTCTCCTGGACTTGCTCATTGTTCGAGTCGGGTTCCAAGTCCTTACTGGCTTGTTTTTCAGCCTCTGCAGCTGCAGTCGCGCGGCGCGATTCACGGGCGTTTGGGGTTGACGAGACTGGTGAGTCAGGCGTGCTCGGAGCTTCAATAGACTGTCGACCTTGGCCACGCCCCTTGCCCTTGCCCTTGCCCTTGCCACCCTTGCCGCGACCCTTGCCCTTGCCACGGCCGCGGCCAGTGCTGGCAGGTGCAGGTGGAGGTGTGGCAGCCTCGGGTGGGGTGCGTGCATCTGTCGTGCCGACTGGGTCCTGGCAAACCGAAAGCAAAAGGGACAAACGATTATGCAGGGGTGAGAGTAGTGGAAGATTGAGAGGGATTGAGAGAGATTTCAGCGGGTGCAGCTCGTACGGTGACGGGGCGAGGCGTCTGAGGGGAGTTGGAACTGTCAGATGGAGGCGGGTGTACAAGAAGAGTGAGCAGCCGATGACGATGCCGGTAGCTAGTCTAGCCTTTGCGTTGTTCGATCAGCGATGGTGCATGAATGAAAAAAAAAAAGCAAAGAATACATACGTTGAAGTGCTGGCCCGGGTGCCTTCTTGGCTATTGCGGCCGCGCAAGGCTGTGGGCACAGGACGGGGCAAAAAGCATGGTGCTGATGAGCGCAGGCCTGGCGGGTAAAATTTGCTTGCATGGTGGGGAGAGGGCCCGCGTGCGGTCACGGTGGGGCAGAGAAGACACGGGCATGGTCGAACCATTTTCAACAACATCGCGGCGGTTCTTGATGCTTTGACGACGTGAAAAGGCGGTGGCATTTTCATCCTCGGCCACTTTTACAAGGACCTTGGCACGTTCCACGAGGTTGGGACTGATTTGCTGACCCCGGAGCGACGACTCGAGCATGAGGAGATCAGCAGCCAATTGCCTAGGGTGCCAGATCAGTGACACGGACAAATGTCTAGCGGGCACAGACGAAGGCTTGTGCGGGCGTGGCTTCTTTTTGCGTGTGGGGCAGAGTCAAAGCATACTTGTAGGTGTTGAGGTCATGGCTGACAGCGGTGTCCAGCTCTTGCAGGCGCTTGCGTTGCAATGCTTTGTGTAGGACAGAGACTGGTGTCGGGCGGCAGGATACGGCGCGTCAAGGCATTTGCCATCCAGAGGCATGTGTAGACGGGTTTCAGCACCACGGGGAGGGGCAACACACCAGACTGGTCGATGCTCGCATGGCTGGCCGTCAGCAACTTGCTAGCCAGACTGAGCAGCTTTTGATATTGAGCCTTACAATGCTGTGAGCCAACGATTGTTTCATCAGCCCCGGCGAAGAAAAAGAGGGCAGTTAGGTGGGGGGAAGAGGGGGAAGAGGGGGAATGGGGAATGAAGTCTTTGCATGTTTGGGTGCGTGACTCCAAGTGTGTGACGAACCGGTGGCTGAAAGAATTCGGGTGCTCGAACGTCTTTGGACAGCAGCATGGCTTCATGCGATACTTTGGTCTGCAAAGCGTTTGCCCAAAAAAGGTAGCGGCAGTGGCGGCGGTCATACAGCAGAAGCCATCGCGCGGGCAAATCACCAGAGACAAAGTGAGCTGCCTTCGCGATAGCGGGTGCGCGCGCGGGTGACCACAACCGGTCCAGTTACGCCGTACCCAATCGGTAGCGCCCTTTTGGGCAAGAACGGCTTCCACGAGCAACAGCTGATCGCGAATGCTCCAATTGGGAGGCTTGCCACCAGACGCCGTGGTCTCGGCCGACGAAGCTGCTGCCCCGCGTAATGCGGGGTCACTCCCCGTATCCATCTCGCTGCTCAGCTTCCTATGCACACACCACTGAGCCGCCCGAACAAGTACCGCCGCCGTTGGCTCTTGGAACGAAACTGATCCAGCAGACAGAGAGAGAGAGAGAGAGAGAGAGAGAGAGAGAGAGAGAGAGAGAGATTGATTTAGAGAGAGAGAGAGAGATTTAGAGAGAGATTTAGAGAGAGAGAGAGAGAGAGAGAGAGAGAGAGAGATTTAGAGAGAGATTTAGAGAGAGAGAGAGAGAGAGAGAGAGAGAGTTTTGAGAGACGTTAGAGAGAAAGAGTTTGAGAGAGAAAGAGTTGAGAGAGATAGACAAAGACGGAGTGAACCAGAGTGAAGTTTTTTTTTTTTTGGGCATCAAAGACAGAGAGGTCAAAGCGAGAGAGAGAGAGAAACGGAGAGAGGTAGAGGGGTGGGGTCGGATCGGGTTTGGCGGTGGGCTGGGGGTGTTTTCTTTCGGGGAAGAGGACAGCTGTGGGTGGTTCTTGGGCTTGTTGGTAAGCCAGTGCGGTCGCACGTTGGACTTTGGGGCTAGGGCCACGTCAGCGACTGCGGCAGCTGACCGCGACACAGTTGTCCGGACGGCAGACTTGGGTCACAGATCACAGCTGGTCGAGAGACACCGCCGTCATGCTGGACATCTACTCCGTCCTCACGGTGGGCGCACTTGGGGCGGGTGCCATGTTTTACGCCTACTACGTCAACCAACAAGCAGCTGGCCCCGTCTCGGCCCAAGCCACGCCCAAGCCCTTTCCAAAGGTGAGCTGCAAATACACGATGTCCAAGCTGCCTGCATTCGCAGCGCGCGACCGATGCGCGGTGTTCTCGTCACCATTGCTCATGTCTGCCTATAGGCCAAGCGCACCACTCGGGCTCAGTCGGGTCTCACCGCTTTGCGAGCTCGTGCAAAGGTGAGCAGGCTGGATCACCAGCCCGCATGCATCCAATGACCGTCGTCCCTCGGATGCACTTGATCATGGCATCACTCTGATCGTGCACTTTGGCCTCCACCTGTTTGAAAACAACAACAACTGCAACAATACTAGATTGCGTATGATGACAGCAATGCCGATCACCAAAGACTTCTGCAGCGCTTGTGGACCGCCATGCGCCCGGTCCGTGGATGTCGTCGTGCCAACCGTTTCTTGGACCCTCCAGAGCTTCTTGTCTACGTTCGACCTCATTGATACTCGGTGGCCCAACTCCATTATTTAATAGAATCAGCCCTACCCGGGTGCCTTGAGCCTGGCCTGGCGTGATCTCGGCTTTCAAGGTGGGGCGTGATCTCTTCAATATACTTGCTCGCAGCAACCACACCATGCTCAACAGGGCCCGCTCGCACCACTGCCACCTATTTTCTTCGCTGACCTGGGTATAGGCGAGGAGCCAGCCACCGACTTTCGGGGCATGGGATTGTTGGGGCTTGATGCCCTGGTGTATGCCGCCGAACACCATCAAGCCGACCTCATTGATCGTATCAATCGTCCCAACGACGATGTTTTCTTTTACTTCTTTGCCATCGGAGGCATCAACATTGCCGAGACCATCCTGCGGTACGCTGGCCAATGCTCTCCCTTTATATCTGCACCTTGTGCCCCCCCCCCCCCCCCCCAAAAAAAAAAAAATTGG